CTTATGTTTAATAAAAGGCCACTTCCATTGTATATTATAGTAGAAATGAATTGTTCATCCTTGTCTTTATTGTGTTCACTTCCATCTAGACCTGGATGATGAGGAGCTAGAGTGATGTGCGTACCAATTTAGATGTTATAAAAGCAAGCTGTTTTCTTTGGGAGTGTTATTTCCCCTCAGAAATGTGTCCCACAAGTGTCACACAGTAAAGTTACCCTTTGCAAAACCTTTGCCAGTACAAAATAGATCAGCCAAGTGACAAGTACATCCTTTACACATAACTTACAAACCTTTTCAGTGCCAGCCATGGTGGTTCCATCATGGTATGGGTTCCTGGAGCACACTTCAGGTGTAACATGAGGCTGAAGATGGAGCCAGTGCTTCCCACCATGTGAGAAAGGCCTTCCTCTGGCTGATCTATTAGCACCCATCCTGATGTGGCTAGAGCACAGCATCTTACCATAAGAACTATAATCAAAGGTTTGAGGGCTTTATACAAGGCACCCTCCTCCTGTCAAAGACGGCACAGCAGAATATAAGGATGATTGAAATGGGTAAGGAAAAGATTATTGCCATAATTGCTCACTCTTTGAAGTAGTCTAGTCTCATCTGAAATGGTCTCTCATTCCCCTACAAGCATCAGTGGCCTGTGAACAGTAACTGAGGACAAAAGGTACTTACTAATGGGGGCGGGGGAGGAATGTTACCACATGGCGCTGTACTTAAACTTGGTAACCGGAAACATGTTAAATGTGACTGATAGGTCTCATTACAGTTGTAAAGACCTTTTGTGTGGGGACTGTGTCAAAATATCACTTCCCCTGCTGCACCCCCACCATTTCCCATTGAGCACAGTACCATTAAGAGTGGGTGAAAGATTATGCCATTCCCTAGGCGCAACATGTTAATCAGAAGATGACTGTGGATAGTCTCTGGGTTGTTCTAAATGGGGTTGAATAATCACCACGTAGTCATGAGTTGAAATTCTGATCTTAGTGAAAGAAAGGTTCATTCCTTTTATGCATCAAGTTACTGTGGTATTTATTTTTAAGGCAATTTCCCATATTCATGTTACCCAAGTAAATGATTAACTGTAACTAGCATCCAGCATCCAAATGCAAACTGAGCATTTATTCTTTTACCGCTTTAAGTTATCTTATATTAATTGCCTGCGTAGGACATATGATTTATGGGAAAAATTTCTTTTAGCAATTCTGTCTGCACAGCAGTTATGTGATTGGATCAATAGTGCAAAAAGATAGTCACATGGCAACCAAGTTATATTATCCCATAAGAATAAATATGGAAAAATCAAATATTATTTAAGCCTTGATACTGAAATGAGCTCTGCACCATCACAAGAGTTCACCCATTGGAGCCTACTTCATGGTCAGGGTGTTAGTGTCTGTACAGTGCTCTGAAGTGCTAGAGCAATATCGTATATGGGATCTAACCCTCCCTAGTGTCCAAGCCCAGTAAGACAAGGGACAACTGCTTATAATCACTGTTAATTTACTTCCTTAAGCATTAGGGATTGTTGCTGGGCTCAAGGTCCTGGGTCTATGCCATTTACAGCTGCCATGTCTCTATGAGATAACAGGAAATAGCACCCCACACAGAACTGTACTTTTCATGGACCTCATTTACTTGAATATGACCTTTATCTAATTGGAGAAGTACATCATATACTATCTAAATATGTTTAATCATGTTCCTTCTAATGGCTGGCTGCAAAGGGGATAACTACTTGCTTACTCATGAGCAAAGATTGTTCCTTTATCTGAAGTCTGTGTGTTCAGCAGGGAAGGGCCTGTGTTCTGTCCCTGGTCAGAAACCCTAGGGCCTGAATATGCACATGGAACCAATTGATAAATCTCATCATCATTATTAGAAATTGTCTTTTACAGTAACACCAAAATCCAAACAGGGAGACAGGAGGAGACTAGAGAGTATGACCCGGCAGCAGTGAAATGTGAAGGTTCATGACACCAGGTTGTGAATCAATGGTGCTTTGGGAGGTGTGATGTTTCTGAAGGCCTGGCCATGCTGCTGAGGAAGGGTGCACATATTGCTAGTGCTGCTACCAGTCACACATGTAACCACAGGCCACACATTTAGTGTGCTGTCCCACCTTTGCAGTTACACATACCAAGCTGTACTGCAGCACTTAAGGCAGTGCACAGACACCGCACTGATGTTTAAGCCATTGGAAGCAGCAGTTTCCATTCAGCATCTGAAAGCCATCAACGTCAAAAGACAGAGAACTGCACATCCATAGCCAGTTTCTTCACACGCTCTGTGGCCAGTTTCCTCCCTGCAGGGTCCTTGTCTGACATTGTGTTTGCTCTGAGAAGACTGTTGGGTGTTGCTGCTGGCCTGAGCTGATGAAACCCTGGGAAGTTATGAGGTGTCAGGCTCAGCTCTGCAGTTGACTCAGTGCCCATTTGCTTTGCTCCCAAGTAACCGTTTGTGGCATGTTTGCTCTGTGATTATATTCCATGTGATTCCATGCCTGGTGTCCCCAGCTATTTGCGGTCACAGCTCAGACCCACTCTATGTCTGCATAGCTGGCAATTGGCAGTGTTTCACTCCCCAGCATCAAGTTTGAAAGGCCTCCAAACCCAGGAGCCTGCCTGTTTGTCTTTGTAAGGAAGAAGCTGAGGGATTGTTGCTGGGAGGATCACTGCCTACATCTCCCCTCCCCACCCTTTTTTCCCACTTAAACCACATCTAGCAAAATTGCAGACTATAATCCCAACCCTTCCCCCCACCCCCTCAATCTGAGACCCATGATTGTAAACCACATCCTTTCCAGGACTGAAAATGAGAAGCAATGATTTGGAACGGGCTGAGGGTTTCTGGACAGTAGCCTGCTGCTATGGTAGCTCCAGAGATGCACTATCCTCTGCCTCAGCGCTAATTATCATGAGGTGATGTTGCTGTTTGAACTGGCTGCTGCATTCTGGGGACTGAGGCAACTGCTGCTTTCCAGTCTGCTTTTTCAACTTGCAGAACAAGGTAGGGCAGATACACCTCCTGAGATAAAGTGGAATTAGGGACTGATTGCTACATCATAACAGTACTACAGCAATCAACCAGCACTGGACTGAGTCAGAGTCCCTGACTGGTCAGCAGGACTGGACTAGTCCTTTCTAAGTGTCATCTTTGGTCCTTTCACCAAAGATGCAGTTTGCTCTGTTGTAGGTCATCAAGTCCAGCTTCGAACCAGCACTTAGCCATGAGGAGAAACTGATTTCAAGTGGCTATGCAGTGTCAGCCAGAAATAACGTGCACTCATGCAGGGAGAGAACGCCCAGGAACAGTGGGACAGATTGCACAGGCGAAGAATTATCCCAAAGCAAGTTGAAACAAAATGGGAGATATGGACTGAGATGCTCAAGCTAAAACCCAGTGAAATGGAAACACAGAATGAAACACTGAAGTCAAAATAAAGTGAAACCGACAAAAAGTTTGGAATTAAATTCCAAGGTCAGAATGCAATGAAACTAACTCAAAATCAAATAGAATAGTCAATATATTGTTGAATGGCTCAAAGATGTTTGTTATTTACATTTTTCACAACAATTAATTTTTTATTCATCAATATGTTACTGTGAAAAACTGCTTTTTTCCTGGAAAATTCCTGACCAGCTCTAGTTGCAAAGCCTTCTACGTGTCCTGCAGTTCTCTCTCTGCACCAGTTTCTGCATCAGAACAACAGTGGTGTGCTGCTCACTGATTCTAACCTATCTGCCTGGGAGAAATAGGATCCTAGTTTCAAATGTCCCACAGGCTCCATCCTTTTGCGTCTCTTGCATCAACTTAGTAACAAATAGCCTCAGTCCAGCAAAGCACTTAAATAGGTGTTCAGTCATTCACTGGTAGGCGCATCAGTCTGCAAGTTAGGGGAGCATCAGCCCCAGAATATCACCATTGGTTGGTAGCGACTGTGGTGCATTGCCCTATACAGTTTTGTTATTTTTAAGTGGTCAATATATAATATCAACAATTTTCACATTTCCTTACCTGTAAATTTGGAAGCTGACTGGTGCTTGTGCACTTCTTCTCTTATCCTTGTCTATGGTCTCTCCAAGCACCATAGGTGCTGCCTTTTATTTTTGTTGGGTGCAGGGGGCAGTGTGGGGTGGTTGGCATCTCAGGTAACAGCCCTTTTCCTGAGGGGAGGCATGGGCAGGGCCATAGTTGGCATCTCTCAAGAGCACAGGAACAAGCTGGTTTCATAATCCAGCTGTGGTCAGGAGGCTGTCATTTCAGGTACCATATTGCCTGGTGCCTCCACAAGCTCAGGTGCTACCACTAGGACAGTGGGGTAAAGGGCATGACCTCAGAAATCTCTTAGTAAGACCCACCAGTTTAACTTGCTAAAATAATCATGAACCCCTGGATAACCTATTTACAAAGGTCTGTGGTTGCAGCCTGGTATCTTTTACTTACATTTTCTGTTCTAATTCTAGTACTGTATTAAGACAGTCATTTAGCTTAGACAAATCATTTAGCTTAGACAAATAGGTTTACAGTGCCTTAGCACTGTGCGCAGACTAAAGCTAGGCTTTCATAATAAAGGGCTGTCCAAAACTACCCCTTTCCTAGTGACAGGGCTACACATGGGCATGTCTACACCTACATTTACACCAGCTTCAATTTACTGCAGAGTAAGTTACTGTGCAGTAAGCAGAAATAGGCAGGCATCTACATGTGTAGGCATTAAAGCCCATTAATGCTGTGTGTGGACTGATTTGGGACTAAAATTAATCCCAAGTCAATTCCCACACATAACATTAATGCGTCTACATGTGCATTACTGCGCAGTAGCTAATCGGGAATAAATTTGATACCTGAATGATGGAGAGGGCCAGTCATTCTAGGATTTTAGCACTAATATTTAGCCACAATGGAAGGTAGCTGATACAGCTACTTGTTACAATAGTTATTACTGAGGCACTAACAGTTATTTCTTTAAAATGTTCTCTCCCTCAAAGGCTATGTTGTGAAACAAAGAAGGAAGCAGACATGTGGGTGTTACATATTATGATTGGAAGATGAATGCTGCAGACATGGATTGGAGAACACAGTTCCAGCTCTTTTGGGTAAGATGTGTATCTCTCTCAGATGATGTTTTCCTTGAAGTTTCAATTAGATAGAATATGCTTCTTCTTTTCTTGTCTGCTTAATAGTAGCCTGACAAGTTCAACAACTGTTGTGTGGCAGGCCAGAGGTGTCTGCTATGTTCCAGTGGTGTATACAATTATTCCAGTGTACATAATAGCTCATAAAAATGGTTTGAGTCCTCTGGTGATATTTAGTGTCTGATATTTTCCAAGGCATCAGCCTAAACTATATACTGCTTTATGCCCACAAAATATGACATTGATATTGTTGTACCTGCTGAAGGGCTGATGGATGTCTATGTACTATGTGAGCCTACCACTGATTAAAGAAGCAAAACTGCAGGAGCAATTATTCGCCCACCACAAAAAACCATCACTGAAAATCAAGCCCTTCAAATTTAATTTGATTTTTACTGTTGACATCACTCCTGCTTTCCCCTGTTATATCACATCTCAGAAGAATCTGACTCACTTAGCCCAGCTCTTGCTGTTTCAAGATAGGTAAGGTTTAAGATGGGTGGTACCTTTCTGGCTGTCATGCCACAAATTAGTCCTGAACCTTCCCTGGCCCTTTCCCCTGCCTAATCAGCTGTTCTGCTTTCTGCCCTTTGCTTCCTGCCCTGTGCTCCATCCCCCATCTGCTGCTCTGTTTTCTGTTCCCTGCCCTATCCGTTACTATGCTGCCTGTCTCCTCCCTGGTCTGATGCATGCCAAACACAGAGGCCGCCCATTGTGGTAGTTAATCAGAATTCATCAGGAACACAATACAGGCCACCCTCGCCAGTCGCGGGGGATACCTTCTCATATCCCCGTGAATGGTGAAATCCACAAATAAAGCACAGTGTTCACGGACATAGTCTGCGTTCATGAATGCAGTGCCCCGGCGGCTGTGGGGGGAGCACGGCTCCAGCAGCAATGGTGGGAGCGCGGCAGCAGTGGCAGGAGCCCACTGGTGGTGGTGGGAGCCTAGTGGCAGCGAGCCCAGAGCTCCTAAGTAGCTCCTGTAAGTGTATAAAGTGTATTTAAAATGTGGGTTTGGCATTTGCGAATATTTATAGTAAATTTTGTCTTCCTGAAGCTTTCACGAGTCAGCACAATTTCTTCAAATCTGTTTGCTTTTGTTGTGTCCCCTTTAATTCTGGCTGTTGCCTGTGATCTGGTAGTATTTGGCATGCTGGCTAATAGTGTATTGGATTAGTTAATTGTCAGTGGTGTGCTCACTTGGTTTGTGATGATTCCTGCTCCTGTTGTTTTCTGTTTGTGTACCCCCAAATCAAAATGAAGCTGAATTAGGCATGAAAGGATTGGGATTTGGGGAAGATCCCACCTCACGGTCATATCATACAACTGTGTGGTGATAAGATTTGAGTACTTGAGTTAATGATCTGTTTGCAGCATGTACAAAATAAAGGCAAACAACAGTGGCCTTGGGCAAAAACTAATTTGAAGTATCTAACTGCCCAATAGCATATTTTTGTTTTATTAAACTAGGTTTGCCAGGTGATGGAGACCAAAGCCCTGAAGTAAGTGGGGAAGCAGGAGACCTGAAGGAAGAGCAAGCAGGATATGGCAACGGAGGAGGTGCTCTCATACTTCCAGAGAAATCAGGGCAATCAACTAGTTACCTCAGGTGCCTGTACACAAATGCATGGAGCCTGGGAAACAAGCAGGAAGACCTGGAAGTCCTTGCACAACCATGGGACTATGACGTGATCAGAATAACAGAGACTTGGTGGGAGCTTGTGTGACTGGAGCACTGTCATGGATGGGTACAAACTATTCAGAAAGGACAGGCAGGGCAGAAGAGGAAGAGAAGTTGTACTTTATGTAAAAGAGCTGTACGATTGCTCAGAGGCCCAGAATGAAACTGCAGATTGGCTTGTTGAGAGTCTGGGTTAGGGTCAGAAGGGGAAAGCAACAAGTGTGATGCCATGGTGGGGGTCTGCTGTAGACCACCAGATCAGTAGGAAGTGGGGGATGAGGCTTTCTTCAAACAGCTAGTGGAAGTTTCCTGATCACAGGCCCTGGTTCTCATGAGGGACTTCAGTTACCCTGACATCTGCTGGGAGGGCAATACAGCAGTGTGCAGGCAATCCAGGAAGTTTTTGGACAGTGTTGGGGACAACTTCCTGCTGCAAGAGCTGGAGCAGCCAACTAGGGACCGTGCTCTTCTTGACCTACTCACAAACAAGGAAGAATTGGTGGGGGATGTAGTAGTGGATGGCACCTTGTTGAGTAGCAGTGACCACAAGATGATTGAGTTCAGGCTCCTGGGGAAAGGAAGGATGGAGAGCAGAAGAGTAAGGACCCTGGACTTCAGGAAAGCAGACTTCAACTCACTTGGGGAACTCATGGACAGGATCACCTGGGAAGCCAGTCTGTGGTGGGTGGAGAGGAGTCCTGGACAGCTGGCTGTACTTGAAGGAAGCTTTCCTGAGAATGCAGGAACAAACCACCCCAGTGTGCAGGAAGACTAGCAAGTATGGCAGAAGACCAGCTTGGCTTAGCAGGGAGCTCTTCAGTAAACTAAATCACAAAAAGGAAGCTTATAAGAAGTGAAAACTTGGACAAGTAATCAGGGAAGAATATAAGGCTGTTGCTTGAGCATGCAGGGATGAAGTCAGGAAGACCAAAGTGCAATGGGAGTTGCAGCTAGCAAGGGATGTGAAGGGTAACAAGAAGGGTTTCCACAAGTATGCTGGTAGCAAGAGGAGAATCAGGGAAAGTGTGGGTCCTTTACTGAATGGGGGAGGCAGCCCCATTCAGACAGAGGATGCAGAAAAGGCAGAAGCACTCAATGCCTTTTTTGCCTCAGGCTTCACAGGAAAGTTCAGCTCTCAGACTACTGCACCGGGCAGCACAGTTTGGGGAGAAGGCGAGCAGCCCTCAGTGCTAACAGAGCAGGTTAGGGACAATTCAGAAAAGCTGGACATATACAAGTCCCTGGGGCCAGACAGGATGCTTCTGAGGGTGGTGAGGGAGTTGGCTGATGTGACTGCAGAGCCATTGGCCATCATCTTTGAAAACTAACTGTGATCAGAAGAGGTCCTGGATGACTGGAAAAGGGCAAATATAGTGCTCATATTTAAGAAACAGAAAAAGGAGGATCCAGGAAACTACTGACCAGTCAGCCTCAACTCAGTCCCTGGAAAAATCATGGAGCAGCTCCTCAAGGTATCCATTTCTAAGCACTTGGAGGAGAAAAAGGTGACTAGGAACAGTCAGCAGGGATTCACCAGGGGCAAGTCATGCCTGACCAACCTGATCGCCTTCTATGATGAGATGACTGGCTCTGTGGATGTGGGAAGACCGGTGGATGTGGTGTACCTTGATTTTAGCAACACTTTTGATACAGTCTCCCATGACATTCTCACAGGCAAGTTAAGGAAGTACAGGCTGCATGAATAGACTGTAAGGTGGATAGAAAACTGGCTGGAGCATCAGGCTCAGAGAGTAGTAATCAATGGCTTGATG